TGTGAAGGCAAGATGGGGTGGGTGGAGGTGGAGCAGGGTGTAGGAAGGAGGCAGAGTCTGTTTCAAGATGCAGATCTGAACGGAGGATGACAGGTGCCACGTGATGACATGAGGACTCTGAGGGGGGTATCGGGAATCCCCAGGGAGGGGGCCCTGGGCTTGGTTGTGGGGGAAGGTGCCTCTTCCACTGGTTACTGAGCTGTGGCAAAGGTCAGGTATGCAGACGACTCTCAGCTGGGGGAGGGGAGGCCAGGGCGCTCCCTGGGGAGAAGATTGGTCTCGTTTCTCCCTAGAGCAGGAGATGTGAGAGCCGTCTTGAGGAGAATGAAGGAGGATTCGAGAAGGTTGCTGTGGGGACCAGAAGAAGGGGAGGGCGGCAGTTTCGGTACCCTGGAAGCCTGCATTGCTGGAGCCGGGGTTGGGGTAGAGAGGCATTATGGGATACTCCTGATGGGGACAGACGTGAGGACAGGAAAGGGGCAGATTGGGACCCCACCGCCAGCACAGCTTGCTCCCCCGCTTCCTTTGGTCTTAATTCAAAGGCCCTTCCTCAGTGGGACCTCCTCTACCTCTCTCATCTAAAATCATAATCCCTGGATCCCACCATTTTCTTTCTCTGTTTTATTTTGTCCTTGGTATTTAATACGAATTAATATATTATGTATTTGCTGTTTTTATTTTGTTTCTTATGTGTCTCTGCAGCAGAATGGAAACCCTCCAAGGGCAGGGGTTATGAGTTAAATCGTGTCCCTCTACGATTCCCAGATTGAAGCCCCAACCCCCAGCACCTCAGAATGTGATCTTATTTGGAAATAGGGTTGTTGCAGATGTGATTAGTGAAGACGAGGTCATTAGGGTGAGCCCTAATCCAGTATGACTGGTGTCCTTCAAAAACAGAGATTTAGTGGGCTGGCCCGGTGGCACAGTGGTTACGTTCACACCTTCTGCTTCTCTGTGGCCCAGGGTTTGCTGGTTCGGATCCCGGGTGCGGATCTGGCACCACTTGGCAAAAGCCATGCTGTGGTAGGTGTCCCACGTATAAAATAGAGGAAGATGGGCCAGTCTTCCTCAGCAAAAAGAGGAGGATTGGCAGCAGTTAGCTCAGGGCTAATCTTCCTCAAAAAAAAAAGAAAAAGAGATTTAGTTATAGAGACACACACACAAAATGCCACGTAAAGACGGGGTGATGCTTCTATAAGCCAAGGAACACCAAAGATTGCCAGCAAATGGACAGAAGCCAGGAGAGAGGCCTGGGACAGGCGTGGTTTAACGGGAATTTTGAGCATCAACCGAAATGGCGAGACACCCTCTGAGATGCTAGGGATTAAAAACAAATTGATGAGACCTGGTCCCTGAACTTGGTGAACACTCAGGTTACAAGAAGGAAGATAGTTTTGCAAAACATTGTTGGACAACAGGGTAATAAGAGCTATTATAGGTCTTGAACAAAGGGGCAGTGACGGGGAAAAGAGGTGGAGTTTGCCCTGTTCTTGTGGGAACACCTTCTGTGAGCAGGTCTTGTAATAGCTTTTCACATCACATATGGCTCCCTAAATTGGCCTTAAAAATCCAACCACCTGTATTCACATGAGGATCTGAGGGCTTTTGTCCTTGGAGAAAACACAGCTTCTCTAGTTATATCCTATTATTTCTAATTCTCATCAAGAGCAGGAAGAAGTCAGAAGAACTGGCAGTTAGGGGTATACGTGCATGTCCTCCTTCCAGGTATTTAACCACAAAGGCAGAAATCCTCCCTAAAAGAAAAAGAAACTCTTAAAAGGTTGTACCAATTCTGATTGCAAAGGGAGGAATCCAGCTGCTGTCAATTGAACTGAGTTAGGGCCACACAGCCCCTAATCTCTTTAATAGGGAGATCCAGAAATACACACAGAGACTTTTCTTTGTATTTCTAAGCAGCTCAGAAGGGTAATCTGGCCTAGCAATTCTCTCACTTTGATGCGGGCTTGGCAAGCCGAGGAGTCGAAAGAAAGATTTCTTGGACTCTCAAGGTCTGTTAGCAGTGTTCCTTTATTCAGAGAATAACATGGGGACAGGACCCATGGGCAGTAAAGAGCTGCAAACATGGGTTGAGGATAGGGCTAAATTTAAGGCATAGGCATGTGAGTTCTCTCTTTACAAGACAAAGGAAAGATTACGTAAAAAAGTCATTAAAATGGTATCAGTGTGGGTGGGGTATGGTTGTTGGGTGGTGCTATAACTTTAGATAAGAATCAGATTGGATCAGGTCAGGACTCCTATGCTCCCCGGACGGAGGATGATACAGCTCGGTATGTAGGGCCGGTCACCTTGGGCTTCTCTCCCTGGGGTAGCCTTGATCCTCATCAGCTTGACTTCAGGATACTCTAGGTGGCCTCCACTTATTGCAAATGGGGAAATTTGGGAAATTTGCAAAACTCCAAGCCAAATGATTTTGGTTGACTTAAACTGTTTTTAGAAAACAAGTGACTAAGAGATGCCTCATCCCCAACTCACTGCTACTTCTCCTGAGGCAGTGGCAGAGCTGGAGGAGCCTGCTGCAAGCCTCAGAAGGCAATGAACTTCTCCAAACTCCACCCTTGAAGACCATTTCTGAGGGCAAGGTGGCAGCAAGAAAATGGAGCATCTCAGCCTTCACGGATCGGGGCCCAGGGTCTGCTCCCCAGCCGCAGACTCTCCCCAAGTCCCCATCTTATTCTTCGACCCAACTCCAGGCACTGGCCCATTTTCCTTTACTTTTAAGTGGGGCCATCACTCAGTCCAGACCCCAAGAAAGCAGGATCCAAGCCAGCCTGCGGTGCTGTCCCTCACAGCCGCCAAAGGCAAGCAAACAGCCTTTTTCATTTTAAGGAGCTTTAATGCCACTCACCAGGGGACAACAAAATTGATAAATACGCTCAGTGTTTTCTTCTGGATTTGCAAGCTATCTCTCTATATTCTGGCCATGTACAGGCAGCACAATTAATGTTTTTCCTACCGTTAATGTTTTTTCCACATTTGGCTTTTTCTGTTTTTAAATATGCTTTTTTGCTGAATTAAGTTTCTTTTAGTTGCTAGTATGGAAGCCAACTCTTTGGAGCTTAAACAACAACAAAGGATCTTATTAAGTGTATATTATCTGGTGAGATCTGCTTTAGATTCGTCTTGTCATCTTCGCCCTGGCCCCCCAAATTTCCACTGGAACTTGGTCACATCATTTTTAGAACAAAAGTGTCACCGACTAATTGCCCTGAGGAGCTTGAGCATGGGTTTAGAAGTATTTAATTGTTGTTGTTTTTTTGAGGAAGGTTAGCCCTAAGCTAACATCCACTGCCAATCCTCCTCTTTTTCTGCTGAGGAAGACTGGCCCTGAGCTAACATCCGTGCCCATCTTCCTCTACTTTATATGTGGGATGGCTGCTACAGCATGGCTTGACAAGCAGTGTGTAGGTCCGCACTCGGGATCTGAACCAGAGAACCCCAGGCCAGCGAAGCAGAATGTGCGAACTTAACCACAGGGCCAGTAGGCCGGCCCCTACTTGCTTTTCCAAATTGTTCTTTTTCCCTATTGTTATGTTAAAGAGATGCAATCACCAGCCTCCCTGAACCAGACCAAGCCTCACCTCGAGAGCTACGCCTAGGACCTTTGCCTTATGTCCAATGCTAAGATCTCTCCAGGAGGAGCTCACCTTTGCCTTATGTCCAATGCTAAGATCTCTCCAGGAGGAGCTCAGGCCTTCCTACCGTAACCTGCAGTGTACGTGGAAGCATGTTTTCCAACTGAGCCTGCACAAGCCAATACCCACCTCTCCCTTTCGAATGTTCATTCCCCATCCCAAGCAAATGTCCCTGCTTCCCTTTGTTCGGGGACGCCATGACTAGAAATGATTCCTCATGCTCTCCTATTTGCAGCAAATACACTTTACTTTGTGAGGCAACTACTTCTGGCGGAGAGTTGGACTGAACTCGCCAGGAGGGAGCTCACTTTTGTTCGGTAACAGTAGGACACGAGCAGGCTCTTTGTAGCTGAGTCTTCCCATCTGAGACCATGGTCTGGCTCTCCTTTGATTCACGTCTCTATCTCTGGAACAGTTTCTGTACATTTCTTGAGTTTCTTCCCCAATAGCCTAGACTTTGGATTACCATTCTGAATACAGCAATGAAGAAAATATTGGAGTTTAAGAAGCTCAGGCCACTTGACCTGGGAGGTTCTTCTGAGGAAATATCTGGACAAGGGTGAATTTGTGCACACTAAGAAAATGCTGGAAATACCCTAAATATCAAGAGTAGGAGACTGGTCAAATAAATACTGGTATACCTATGATAATACTTTCAAAATCGAGAATTCTTATGGCTGCAACTCAATAGTGGTACAGCCATAATCTGGAAGCTGGCTCTGTCTGATAGCACAGTTGTCTCTTTACCCCAAACCACCCTGCATTCTCATGCCCCGCACGGGGACCAGCTCTCCCGGCAAATAGGGCAACACATTTGGAGCAGCCGCTCCTGCAGAGCAGTTTATATCAAGGCAAACGGATCCTTTAATTTTAATAACAACAAAAGTTGATGCTTATTGTGTGATAAATTCCAGACAATGTGCAGAGGTTTGAGGTCACTTTCCATTCAGTCCTCCACGGAGCCCTGGGGGGTGGGCCCTGGTTATTCTAGAGCAGTGGGGCGGGCTGGAGTTTGTTCCACCACTGGGTGCCCTCCCCCCCCCCCCAGCTTTGCCTTCCAAAGTTGAGGGGGCCGTTGCTACAGGTGCATTCAGTTTTCAGTCTTTAAATGCACTGCTTGCAATTTTGAAAGAAACTCCTGTGCAGTTAGGTAGCCTGTTCCAGAAATATAACTGAAGTAGTGAATGTTTTTTTGATGGCCTAAAGACAAATTATTCAACTAAATCAACAAATTGTGTAATTGCTACATATATATATACATGCATAACTATATCTTTAAAAATCATAAATTAAAACATTTCATTGATACTGAATAGTCTTGGATAAAATACAGTTTCTCAAAAAGTTAATGATTTAAAAGTTATCCTGAATGTGTTGGCGGTTTTGATAAGCTACTTTCTCCTTTCTATGTAGATTTTGTACACATAATATATAATCCTTGACTTTACTAAAAATACATATGCCTAATTTTGTGCTCGTTTAGCAACGTTGAGAACCTATCGTCTCTGTGGTAAAAGGGGTGCACTTCTAAAAGAGAAAATGATCAGCTTGATTTTGGAGCCCCATCACCCACAAACGGCTGCTTCTTATTTGGAGCAAGCTGTTCCAGAAGTTTATCTCTAAAGGGCAAACCATTCAAGTGCTATTTGGATCCAAATTTCTGAGGAAGGAAAGAAGGAAGCAGTGAGCTCTGAAGATAGAGCCTGAGTTCCGTAGCGCCTGGCGAAGAGGACCAAGAAAGATGATGTGCCGAGCAGCCCTCCGGAGCTGCAGCCTGCGGAAGGACCCCGGGCGCATCGCCGGGGACCCTTTCCCAGCCTGGGGGGTTCTTCCTCTAACACCAGGCTGTGCCCTATCTGGCTGGGAGAAGAGGAGGGCAGCAAAGCAAACCCCGCCCTCCGGGGCACTTCAACTTGTAAATCCCCTGCCTTCCTTTACAGACCTCTGGACAAGCTAAAACAACCGTCAGCCTTGAAAGAGGGAAAATCCTAGTGGGAATTTATGTAAATATGGCCAGTTACAGGAAAAAGGAAAAAGCAAAGCATGATTTGGGGTATTTTTGGCTTCAGAAAGAAAACCCCGAGTACAGACGGAAACCGGTGCGCCAAGTTCCCTTCTAGCTCAGAGCGCGCGCTCAGGCGTAGCCGTGTCTTCACCAGAAATCGCTGTCCTCGGGGCCCGCCGTCACCCCCCGCCCCCACTGGCCCTGCGGATGCCCGGTTCTGAGCAGGTCTGGAGGACGCTGGAGGCCACAGCGATCACCACGGCCAGTCCAGCTCAGCGCGGTGTCACACCAGGGACTAAAGAGGTCTCGTAGATCAAACCTCGCTCCGGCCCCCACCGCCCACCCGGGGTGCTTTTGACGGTGTTCCCCCGCTGTGTCCCTCAGCTTGCCCACCCAAGTCTGGGGGCCTCAAGCTTGTTCCTAGTGGCTGTGTCCGCTCGGTTTGGTTCACTTTTGAGCCCCGAGGGCCTCCCATGGGCTGGCATACGGTGATCACGCTGTCAAGAGCGGTGGAAAGAAAGGAGGGAGAGGGGACAGAGAGGGGATGGGGACTCTGTGGTCTCTGATTCTGCCCCTGGACCCGCGATGCTTCCTGTCAACGATGCAACACTGCGCACGCAGGCTGCTGGCGCGCGCTCACCACGGCGCCTCCACGAGGATTTGGCCCACTGTGCATCCTCCTCCCCGAGGTCAGGCACTCCCCAGGGCAAATCCTCGCTCCTCGGCCCGGGACGGACGCGGAGAGGCCAAGCTCGGGCCAGGGGGGCGCTGGGGCTCGGTCGCGGCGGGCGATTGCAGCCCTGCTCTCTCCGTTTGGCAGTCATCCTCGGAGTCGGCGCGCCCGGTCGCGGCCTCACTGGGTTAATCCGTCTCGACTCCGCAGATCCAGGCACAGCGACCTTGGCTAGGAGTGGGGGAGGAAACACGCCGCTCTGGCCTGGAGCTGCCCCTTCCCACCCAAATGTTCCCCCCTGGGGCTCCTGGACACCTCCCCAAGGTCGCTCTTTTAGGAATACACTGCAAGCCACAGTTGGCCCGGGCTCTGTGACTTGGCGACTCTGCAGATCCTCCCTTCTGGGTTGGGACTTCCCCGCGGCAGGCGGGAGCTCCCAGTTCAGAGGGCCACGGTCCGCAGCGCGGCGGGTCCCGGGTCCCTTCAGTGGACTCCACCTCCCTTGCATCCGCTTGCCCTCCGTGCCCTGTGCACCCCGTGGATTCCCCGGCCTTCAAGTCGGGACTGGGATTGGCCCGGGAGCCCAGACTCCCGGGGAGGTGAAAAAATGGTCTCGGTGGCTCCGACGAGGAGAAACTCCCTCGACCCTGGCCCGGAGGCCTGACGCCCTGGGCAGCGGCCGGCCTTGGGGGCTTGGATGTTCCCGACGCGGGAAACTGGCTCAGCCGCGGCGTTCCCTGACCCCCACCTTCGCCCTCATCCCCGGAGCCGGCGGACGGGAGGGGCGGGCCCACCCGCCCTGCGCAACACCGGCGTTCCGGTTGTTTAGTTATTGTTTCTGGTTCTCCTGCGAGTGCATTTCTCAGCTCCGGGGAAAGGAGCCGGGTGTATTGTCCCCACGGTGCGGAGAAAATCCTTGCTTTGCTCTTAACTTTTGCCGGGAACCGGCTCCGGGCAGGGGACCCTGGGGCGCGCGCCTCCTTCTGTGCGGCCGCCCCGCCCCCCGCGCGCGGAAAGCCCCAGTGGCTCCTCCCACCCCCGAGGGGCTTTCTCCTGCCTCCAGTGACTTTAGTCTTCCAGCGCACGCTCGTTTCTGCTGGGCTGGTGCGCGCCGAGCACTGCTCTGCTGGGGCCGCAGGGGACAAGGGGCGGTGACCTCGGTGCGCGCCCGGCGTCCCCGTCTCCCGGCCTGCGCCCGGCCCCCGGCCCGCGTCCCGGCCGCCAGCATGGTGTTGCTGGCCGGGCCCGGGCCGGAGGGCGGCGGGGCGCGCTGCGTGTCTCCGCAGCCGCCGTCGCCCCCGCGGGACGCAGAGGTCGGGGAGGACCCTGCTGACTACGAGGAGTACGAGGACTTCTCCCGTCTTCCCGACACCCGCAGCATCGCTTCAGACGACTCCTTCTACCCTCCTGGAGGCGAGGAGGAGTACGGCGCCGAGAGCGCAGAAAGCGTCCCGGAGGGCGTCCCGGAGGCGGCGACCCTCCTCCGCGCCGCCTGCGCCAACGACGTGGGGCTGCTGAAGGCGCTGGTGCGGCGGGGACCGAGCGCCGAGGAGGTGCAGGAGACAGACCGCAACGGCCGGGTAAGCTGGCGTCCCCGCAGGGTTTGGGTCCCCTCCGCCCTCCCTGTCCTTCCCCGCGCCGCCTGGATCCCGACTCTGTCCAGGTCCCGCGGTGACTTTGCCGCTGTAAAGAGCACTTTTTCCTCGCTCTCTGGGCGCGCGGCGCCCTGGGTGGCCTGCCCATGCCCGGCTGGGCGGGAGAGCCACTATACTCTGCCCGGGGCCACCGCGCCGCGGGAGACGCCGCTGGTCCTGCGTCCCGATCGCGTCCCCTTCTCGTTTTGCGCCCCCAGAGTCCTCTTGTCCCTGAATCTCCCCGGGGGCTGCGCCCAGATCCGGGTTTGAAACCTCTCGCCGGGTCCCTTCAACCTTGTCCCCCCCACCCCCACCCGACCATTACCCTTCCCGCCTGCAGAGGAAACCCCTTCTGCCTAGCGCCACAATTGCCCCCTCGGCCCCTTGCGCTGCGCCTGCCTGTGCCCTTTCCCGAGCGCAGAACGGCCCCCCCGACCCCGGGCCACACCGATTCGGACTTTCCTCCGGGACCGCCTGCTTACGCGCCCCGCCCCCCATGCCCCGCTGCGCCTCGTGACCCGCGCGGCGACCCGCCAGGTGATCTCCAACTAGGCTGTCTGCACAGTCACCGCGGCGAGCCACTGCCACCCGCCCCCAGGCAGGGCCTGGGGAGGGCGCCGGAGGGGTCGCCACCCACCGGGTAGGGCAGGCAGGCGTGGGGGTGGGGTGGGAAGAGGCACCGGGTATCCGTTAGTCGTGTCAAGACTCGGCAACAGACGTTTAGAAAAGGAAAGAAAAGTTGGCTTGAGAAGAATTGAGAAGGACTGGCTCGCCGAACACAACCCCCCCCCCCCCCCCCC